GTTGTTAAAATTACGTAGGTTTAAGAGTTTAGAGCATTGCAAGAGTGTGGGAAGGGTTTATAAAGCCTAAAAATATATATATAAATACTAAAATAAATCTTGTGTTTCTACTTTGCGGTTTTTCACGTATCGCGGTGGTGTCTGGAACGTAACCTTTGCGATAATCGAGAGACTACTGTACTGATGAATGTGCTGATAAGGACTAAACAAAAAAAGATGTTCCTATGTCATGAGAAACGAGTGAGAAGAACAATGGTTCCTAGATAACAGAACTTTTTTTTCTTTAACAGTAAGTACTCTTTGTTCTATTTGTTGACCTGTTTGTTTGTCTGCTGGGATGTCTTCAAGCAAAAGAGTCGTGTGCGACAAGCATTCATCTAGAGTCCTTTGAATCTCATCAAGTCTGGAAGAGAAAACAAAAATCATTAAAGAATAAGCAACACTATGTTGCTATTCTTATTGACTTCTCTTTAGACAGTTGCCCAAAACTGACTGTGCTTGTTTGTTTGGTGTCTAGATTAAAAATGGCAAGTGGATTTCTAAGATACAGGAAAATTTGAACCAAAATTAAAGGCGTCTGTGCATACTGGGCTTCTCTGTCTTTTTCCAATAATAAGTCCATGACAGCGTTGGTTGATTAATTTGGTTCATAAAAGAGAGTTTCAAACAGAGCTGCTCTCAGATGTGTCTGATCTGCAGCCAAATGCATTCTCTTTTGATTAAAAGTGATGACTATTACGTATAACAGACAGACGGACTAATGAGGAGACATCTGCTGGCTAAAAGATTTACATGGAACTGTTCTTTCTAAGATTAATGGGGAGTTTTTGCCTTGACCTTGAATAGCAGCTGAAACAAAAAGATAAAACACGAAAGCCACTGGTTTGTTTTTAGAAGCTTTCAGCCCCGTATCATGGTCCTCTTCAGTAGATTGCACTGGATCAAGTGCCATAATGACACTCGAGTGCAGAGCTTCGGTCCTGTGATAAAACAAATGAAACCTAAAAACACTAAACTAACACGACTGATAGAGTAGTCATTTGCGCAGTATCCACATTTAGAAACCCTTTCATACATCACATTTAAATGACAACTTTTTTTTTCTATCACTGACATTCACACAACACTAAGACTTCTGAAGAGATTAGAGGTTCAATTTATTACTCAAAGGAAACCAAAATATCTGTACTGGAGGTCTCTGGATCTGTCCAGACAATGAAGAAACTGCTCCACCTCGCGAGTCTTCAATTCATTGAAGGTCCCAGCTTGCCATTACACTTGTGCTTAGTCAGACACAAATTGTGTACCTTGTTAATGCATCGTAGACCCATTGAACACCATTTTCTTATCATAGCAAATTTTAATGCACCTTTAAAGGAACTATTTTTGGTGCCTCTTTGTAGTTTTAAAACTGGAAACTCCAATGATCAGTACGTTTTTATACTCACTTGTTCACATCATCCTAAAAATATTGGATTTAGACAGGCTTAGCATAGTATCTTACTAGGCTCTAACTATTTGAGACTAGTTGGCAACTCAACTTGTGGGGGAAAAAGCAAGTTATCAATGGCAGTTTTCACAAAACTCAGAGTGTTTGCGACCAATAAACCAGCACGACCACAACTGTTTTCACTAGCCTATTTTTGAAACTATAGCAATTTTCATGTGTATACCTTATAAAAACCAAATTCTATGCCGTGTGCAATGTTAAGTTGCACACCTTCACTCACATTATGGGGCATCTCTGGCTGAGTGGTTAAAGCAGTTGTCCTCCATTGCGAGAGTTATTGGTGGGGGCGTGGGGGGTTCAATTCCACCAGCAGACATGCTGAATTGTCCCTGGGCAAGACACTGAACCCCTCCGATATGTGTCCCATCAGTGTATGAATGTTATAAAGCACTGATTATTTTTGGTATAGATATAGTAGTGTTGTTTGAATGGGTAAATGAGGACACAGATTGTCGTGTAAAGCGCTTTGAGTATCTTGAAAAGATAGAAAGGTGCTATATAAGTACAGTCCATTTACCATTTACTTTACCATTATTCCTGACTTAGCCCGCTTGGTGCCCACTTTGTCAACAGATCCCAAGTTTGATTTAGCTTACACTTGTTAAATGAAAATTGATGAATAATATTTTATTATTGGCATGTTTTTTTTGTTAACCTGGACGTTGAAGTTGTAGCCTAAGATGCTTTCTGTCAAAAGAGAAACTGTACAGGTGGCTCCAGAATTTGGCTCCAGAGTTTACAAAGCTAAATTGAGAAAAGGTTTTCATAGCATAATTTTCTTTGGCACATTTTCAAATTCAAGTCTTTCTGACTTTCATCAGAAGTTGAAACTCATGAGTGATTACCGTTCTCCAGCTCGTCGCCAACATTTGCAACCTGGTCAGATGCTAATTTTAAGAACTGTTGGACAGATTGGAGCAAATTTGCTGGACTTAATAACACAAGACTTCTGTCTAAGAACAACTTTGGTCCAGCAATTTTTCTCTTGTATATTTTAATTTTATCACTACTTTGATATGCTTGCTATGTATTGAGTAAAATGTGGGTAACACATTTACTTGTTTAGGATAAGAACATTGGGCAGCACGGTGGATTAGTTGGTTGAGCTGTTGCCTTTCAGTAAGAAGGTCACCTGTTCAAATCCTGGCCCGGGACCTTTCTGGGTGGACTTTGCATGTTCTCTCCATGAATGCATGGGTTTTCTCTGGGTACTCCAGTTTCTTCCCACAGACCAAAAACATGCATGCTGGACTGATTGGTAACTAAATTGTCCCTACGTGTGAGTAATAGTGTGAATGGTAGTTTGTCTCCATGCGTCCCTGTGATGGACTGGAGACCTGTCCATCACACCTTTTTAAAAGCTTATTGCAGATTTTTGAGACTTTATCAAAATAAGAGTTCAATAGAAAAAAATGTAAAGTGTCTTTTATGAACTACAAAGTTAGACAAACTAGTTTTTAATCCCACGGGCATGTTTTTAGAACCCTCCACTTTTACTCCACATTTGTTCTTCAGTTTGAACTTGGCTTTCTCTTCATTGTGTAAGCCTGACTGAGCAAAGGGGATACACTCTTCTACAAATACACGTTCACAAAATATGTCCGAAAAACTCAGTGCCAGACGCACAAGGGATGATGACCCTTGAGAAGCACAAAACGTGGTCATTTAGCAGAAACTTTTATATTTTTCAGATTTTAATCCCATTAGTTCTAGTCTGGTTTGCAAAAAAAAAAAAAAATAAATAAATAAATAAATAAATCCTTCAGAGCAAGACTTTAAACCAAGTTTCAAAATAAAGGCTCATTAATACTTTCTCAAATAAACAAATAGACACAGCAGTTTCTATGAAAAGTCACGTTTTGCTTTTCTCTGCGGAGTTTAGTTCCATAATTAAACCCAGGAAGGGCATTTAAAACAAAATAACTTTTCATCTACCAACCTCCATGTCTTTTATATCCATCCATACATACATGCATCCATCCATACATCCATACATACATACATGCATCCATCCATACATCCATCCATACATCCATCCATCCATCCATACATCCATACATCCATACATCCATCCATACATCCATACATACATACATGCATCCATCCATACATCCATCCATACATCCATACATCCATACATCCATACATCCATACATCCATCCATACATCCATACATACATACATACATCCATACATCCATACATACATACATCCATACATCCATCCATACATCCATACATCCATACATCCATCCATACATCCATACATACATGCATCCATCCATACATGCATACATCCATACATACATCCCTCTTTACCCACTTCTTCTTTGTCGGGTCACGGGGTCACTGGGGCCCATATCATAGTCACTGTGCAAGAGGCGGGGGACACTCTGGACATGTCTCCAGTCCATCACAGGGACACATGGAGACAAACAACCATTCACTCTCTCACTCACACCTATGGACAATTTAGAGTTACCAATCAGCTTAACATGCATGTTTTTGGTCTGTGGGAGGAAATCGGGAGGAAAATCCATGCATGTACAGAGAGAACATGCAAACTCCACCCAGAAAGGCCCCCTGCTGGGATTTGAACCATTGATCTTCTTGCTGAGAGGCAACAGCTCAACCAACTGTGCCACCTATCTTTATATATTGTAGAATAATTATTATAGCTCAAATAAATGAGCACAAACTGTTGGTGAAAAATGACCTGTAATAAAATATATATAAACATTGCCCACCTACAAACTATGAACATTTCAATGCATGCATGCTACCAAAAGGTATCCATTCTCTAATACACAATTACTTTTTAAAGTTTCTTTTCTGTAAAACTTTCTGGTTATTGTAATCACTCCACCACTACAGTGCACTAACTTGCACAAAGAACTGGAAATTGTTTTTACGCCGGATGCCCTTCCTGGTGCAACCACAGACCACTGAGCTACCACAGCCCTCTGTGTGGAGCAGAGAGCTGCTATCTAGAGTGCCTGGGGGAGCAGATGGTGGGGGTTAAGGGCCTTGCTCAAGGGCCCAAAGTGGGGCAAATGATGGAGGAGGCAGGTGTGGATGTTTCACGCTTCCCATCCACATGTTGATCTTGTCTGTTTGGAGAGTCGAACTGGTGACCTTCCAATCACAGACCCACCTTCTCTAACCTCTGCACTACCACTCCCCCCAGAGAAATTGTCAGTGCCTATGCTATACCTGTTTAGTTGGTTAGCTTAGCATAAGAACTGGAAAGTGCTATCACTTTCTGTCCAAAGATGAGTTGCCAGGCAACTGGCACTGAAAACTACCAAGACATTTTTCTTTTCCAACCACAACTTCACTTCATAACAAAGCCCCACTGCTTCAATTAAGGTTCCGCACTTGCACTGAACTGTACGATATAATTTAAAACACAATTATATCAAAATGTAGAACAGGTTAAATAGAATTACCAGACAAATCAGTATTTTTTTTTCTCTCTCCCACTCCATCAGGGTTATCTACCAGCCAATGCTGAAAGGAGAGAAAGTGTTCTACAAAGAAAGAGACAAGAATATTTTGGCTTCATTCAGCAATACTACGACTCGCACAATGAAGAACACCATCAAGACACCTACAGACAGGTAAAAACTGAATCGCATACCATGAACTAGGTAGAAGCTTTAAGAGAAAAAGACTGAACTTCTGGATTGAAGTTCAATTGCCTTTGATTAAAGTGCCTAGAATGACCATGATCTGGATGATTGTGAATCTACACTGATGACTGGTTGTAACATTATTACCATCCAGACAATATTGAACAGCACAGTTTTGTCATAAAATGAGCTCTGATCTTTCAGGTCATGAACAAGAAACTCGAGTGTTTTACAGTGTCTGTTAATTGGGATTATTTTTCACAGTTTGGTCATTGTTGTGCTGATGATGGATTTAAGTTGTCTTTCTTCACAGGAGAGACGGGTATGGCTACACATATCCCTTTTGGTGTTTTATTGATCATAAGACGATGATTTAATCAAATTATGACTAAATGGTGTCAGTGAGGCAGACGTGGGCAACATATGGCTGGGGCTAAAAGTTGCCCTTGGATGATTTCCATCTGGCCCTTCATATTCTTAATTGAAAAGAATACAACTATTAAATAAGTTGATGAAAACCAGCATTTTTTTCATAAAAAAACAAAAAAATCTGTTATTTCTAGTATCACTCATCCCTCTGTTTATAGCAAGCGGCCAACATGGCACTAACGATCGGTCATTAGGCTGATGGTCCTCCTTTGTCGTGTGAACAGCTAGTCTTGGCTGTCACCAGCAAACTGGTTGATCCACTACGAGAAGGTGCCATTTATAAGACTGAGTTTATTGCAACTTATCAGACTGACAAAGTCTTTTGGATAAAAGACGAAACGTTTCAACAAGAAATCTCCATCCAGAGGACCTGACTGTTTTTTGTTAGATTTTTCTACCTGTATTGCGCGAGCATCAGGATAAGTTTTAATTCAACTTCTTGGATGAATGTATCAAAAACCACTGAACTAATACTGGCTATAACTTTCTTTTAGTCATGTTTCCAGAACTAGAATGAATCTTAAAGCCAGGTTACAGGAAGAATGCCTTATTAAAACATATTGGGAAGACACATTTTTATCAAGTATGCTAATTATGTTACAAGATAAAGCTTGGAAAATTAAACATAATTAGATTGCTTTAAATATCTTGTTGAAATAATTGTTGCCCACCCCTGGTCTGGGGACTTTACAATGTATTAGAACCAAATGGTATGCTTGTCTGTCCTCAGCAGTGTGGTGTGAAGTTGTGTGTCAGTTAAAGGAGGTCCAATCAAACTATTGATACAATTAATAGGCATGTGATCAGATACTAGTTTTAGTTGTGTTCAATCTCTGAAGGTATTCTTTTGAGAATCCTTTCCTATTCTTGGTCCCAGTTATTAAAAAAAATGCTTCCTATGATCCTTTTCTATTGTGCTATTTTCTCATTCTTCCTCTTCTTCCTGAGTCTGGTTGTGTTACTGATAGACGAGTGTGGTCGAGCTCTGCTCAGAGAAGACAGCCGGCTTCAAAGAGCTGCCTAAATGGGCACTTTCCAATGGTTATGAGCACATCTACCTTTACTGCTTCTACCTCTCGATTTATTTTAATTTTTCCACCTGCATGTGTTCATTTTTACCATTTGCCTACTTTCAGTTCATGTCAAGCTGATGAGAAATATGAAAGTGGGTTGTCGATTGCAAAATGCACAATTTTCATATTCCATCAATGTTTCCATTGATTTCCTCACAGTGCCAGAAAGCTGGCACACTTTGTTTTTGTGATTGTTTGGATCATGTCTTCTCTCGTTTTCAACCAGATTATGCTTACTCTTGATTGGACAGTCAATTTAAGCATTTTTAAAATATTTTTGCCAATCACTTGTTTGGATTTGTTTCTCTTATTCTGTTTGATTTTTTCCCCTTGTAGGTTTAAATAGACTATATGAATGCATATACTTTTTCCTGTTTATCTTGTGTTCATTGATTTAAACAGTCTTTCTTTATGTTTTGTGGTGCATCGTCCATTTGTATATACATCTGTTTCTGGAGTTTGTTCATATTTTTACACATTTGTTTGTATTGCTGGTAACTTGCCCAAACAGCTTGTGTGTTTGTGTATATACAGGTGCATCTCAAAAGTAAAATATTGCGAAAAGTTCATTTTTTGTCAATAATTTCAAAAACATTTCAAGCCTTTTTTTCTTGTAATTTTGATGATTATGGCTTACAGATAATGAAAAACCGAAATTCAGTGTCTCAGAAAATTAGAATATTTTAACGAGGTTCAATATTTTAAACTCCTGGTGTCACACCCTAATCAGCTGATTAATTCCTGGACATAAGCAGCAAATGTCTCATTCCTCAAGTCCATACACTTCTGAACCAGAGGCGGCATCAAAAGCATCTTACCTGCTGAGGAGACAAAGAACTGGACTGTTGCTCAGTGGTCCACTGTCCTCTTTTCAGATAAAGTAAATTTTCATGCCATTTGGAGATCAAGGCCCCAGAGCCTGGAGGAAGAGTGGAGAGGACCAGAATCCACGTTGCTTGAAGTCCAGAATAAAGTCTCCACAGTCAGTAATGGTTTGGGTTCATGTCCTTTGCTGGTGCTGGTCCACTGCGTTTTCTGATGTCCACAGTCAATGCAGCATCTACCAGGACATTTTAGAGCAGTGGTCCCCATCTAGTGGTGTAGTCTACATTTTTGTAGTGGGTATACCGTTGTAAAATTAGTTTTACATTCGATGTTGGACACCGATGAAGCCACTGAGTGCGAATGTCCAACGTCCAACGTAAAACTAGTTTTACCGCGGTCGGGCCGTATACTGTGCTTAGAAAACAAAGTACACTGTAATCGTTGATTTTTTTTATTTTTAAGCATATCGAATATTTCCAAATTTCTCTGATGCTTCTTATATTTGAATAAATGAACGACAAACTTTGTACAACAGTTGGCTTTGTAATAAAAACATGTTATAGACTTTATAAAACCGTATCAAAGCAAAACATGTTCAAGTATTAAGTATATAATTATACAATGATTTGCTGGATAAGCGAATGTAATAAATGAGCGCTAAATACAGAAAGATTGTTATGGAAGCGTTGTAACTGCCGTTTAACGTATCAATAACACGTGCCTAATATGTCATGTATCATTGGGCACTTTTAAGTGGGTATACTGAAATTCTTAAGCTTTTCTAGTGGGTATACTCCGTACACCCGCATATCACGTAGATTTCACCACTGTCCCCATCTCCTGGACCATGGACTGGTACCAGTCTTTGGCTCAATTGGTACCGGGCAGCACAGTCTTAACTTACATTATTTCAGTTTTATTTAGCATCTGATTCTGAACGATGTTTTATTTAGAAGAATTACTGGATTCTTTCTGCCACATCTATCTATGACTCACTCTTGATCAAGGTCTAGATGCTTGCCTCGGTCACATGGCTACCTTCTTAAAGGGGCTGCTTCTGGGTGGAGTAACACGTAATCCATTACTGAACTGCTGGAGATCGCAAATGACGGCAGTCTTAAAAGTATGTTTGAGACAACTCTGCCGGTGTTCTGGATTAAAGTCATGGCAGAATACCCCGAGATAGCCACAACAGCACTGAAAACCTTGTTGCCATTTCCGACATCCTATCTGTGTGAAGCAGGGTTTTCTGCAGTGACGGCAGCCAAAATAAAATTACGGAGCAGACTGGACATAAGCAACACACTTCAGGTGTCATTGTCACCCATTACCTCTAGATGGGACTGTCTCGTTGCAGAGAAACGAGCTCAGGGCTCCCACTGATTTAACGTTATGGTGAGTTGTATTTTTCATGCACTTTATATTTGTTTTTGTGGTGTATCGTATGTTGAAGGCATGTTTAACCTTTACTATAATGACCAGAGAGTGTGGGGCTGGGAGGCCGTTATGATGTTGGTGCGATGTTACGAGGATGCTGCTAATAAAGTTGCATACACAGTGGATTCACAATTATTATATTTAGAAAACACCATTTTTTATGCCAGTCGTATTATTTTATTTTGTGTATTTCACTACTACACCTTAAAGGCCGGGCCGTGAAAATACTGTCTGACATTAAACCGGTCCGTGGCACAAAAAAGGTTGGGGATCGCTGCTTTAGAGACTTCATGCTTCCATCTGCTGACAAGCTTTATGGAGACGCTGATTTCATTTTCCAGCAGGACTCGGCTCCTGCCCACACTGCCAAAGATACCAAAAGCTGGCTACAGCATGTAATATTCTGATTTTATGATGCACTGAGTTTTTATTTTATTTTATTATTTTTTAAACATAATCATTAAAAGTACAAGAAATAAGAGCTTGAAATATTTCACACTGTGTGATGAATCTATGAAAGTTTCACTTTCTGAAGCAACTGACAAAAAATATTGAACTTTTTTTTTACAATATTCTCATTTTTTTTTTATGTGCTTGCGTACAGTATAATTATTATAATATGCATATTTGTATGTCAAACCATCAGTTAGGTCCACGTGATTTTTTTAATTGACTACTTCCCATAGGAAGTATTCAATATTTCTATATATATTTACTTTACATTTAAAATATTTAATAAATTGTAGAAGCAATGCCCTGGGAGCTGGTTCAAAAACAATGACTTTGTGTTTAAAATATTTTAATTGGTCTGCTAAAGTGAATATGAATGTATTTGATTAATAAGAGTGTCAAAGGTACAAACTCTTTTTAGCTTTCTAATATTCTTGAAGTTTTCTAGGTTTTAACAAACTTTTAAATGTGTAGTGTTGAAACTGAAAGGGTGAAATGACTGTTCTTTTTAAATATCTTTTATTTATGAAATCACAGTTTACACACACTTGTGTTCATTCGTCTCAAATCATCTTACCCTTCAGCAGATGCTTGTGAAAAGCTTTTGTTGTCGCTGCTTTTCTCTTTTTCCGGGACTCGACAAGAGGCTGGAATAATACAGTTGGATTAAGAAAAACCATCAGTGAGCAGTGCTGCACGGTCTTTGGACGTTGAACTGCAGGCAGATACACTTGATCCACTATGCACATTTTTAATAAAAAGTGGTTGCATATTTAATTTCACGGATTGCACCTTAAACTTGCATTATTGGTCTTGTGACATGCCTGTTTTTAGGATTAAGGTGCTTGCTTTTGAAAGTTGGTGTGAGAGGGGGTCACCAGCCGCAGAAGATGTCTCATGATTCATCATAATATAACAGCCCAGTCTGAACAACATTGTGAGGCTAGGTATCTAAACATGTCACTGTTGCTTGATGTTTGAACCAGTGGGTATACAGGTATGTGGGTATCACACTTGCTGTACAGGTTAAAGTTCACAAAGACAGACCACATCAATGAAAAATCCTTTTGGGAGCCAAGTATTACAAAATGACATCTCCCATTGGGACACAGGTATTGGACTCTACAACACTTCGTGCCTGCCTGCATTCAGCCTTTAGGACTGGCGTCAGGTGGACTACAAGTTCACTGCCCCAAGTGTAGGCTGTCATTAACACCAGAGAAGAAACGACTACATTTGGAGGTGCCGTTACCTGCAGGCAAGGACTGATTAGTGGTTGCCATATGTGAACAGAATATTGGGTCTGCATTACCACAGATCTCCATCGTTTGTGCAAATGATGGCATTGAGGGGTGAGAACCAAGCCTGCCAATGTTGTGGAGAAACACCAGCATTATTCCTGACATCATGACACGGCGAGCCATGTATATGACTTTTTGGTCACTTGTAGTAGTGATTCAGTTGACCCTTATTGACCCGTTCCATATCAGTGACATTCTCCTGAGACAGCACCCTGGCGTTAAATTTTTTTTTTTAACAAGACAACACCCATTCAATGAACTGCCTGCATCGTGTTGAGGTCCTCCTTTGGTCAACAAAGTCCCAAATCTTTCCCAAACTGAACGTGTTTAAGATCAGCTTCAACCCAGCACCAAAACAGCCAGAAAGCAACGTCTAGATACAACAGCTGTCACGTGATTCACCAAAGGAGAGGACACAACAGCTGTACGTCCCCATTCTGCACCAATTCATCCTTTGTATCCAAATCCATGGGGGTGCCACTTCCTGCTGCTGAATCTTCTGTGTGCCTGTATGGCTAACTCCGTTATCACTGTAATCGTTGCAAATGGTCACATGACCTTTCAACATATGCATTTTAATTTCATTTTCTTCGCTGTGTTCTGTTGCTAAACTGACGAGTGTTTAGGTTTCACTGTGCTCATGTCAAGATTTTTTTTTCAGAACATTAAAGGGTTCTAGATTATTTAAAAAAATGCTGAAATATTTTCAACTTCATGTCTAACACGGTTCTTCTTCATGTTGCTGTCAGATCCAAATAGACATTCCTAGGATGAATCCTGAATCTTTGGTGCAGCAGCCAAAGGTGACGGAGGTAAGGTGTCCACCGCAGATAGGACAGTGGTTACAGCTCTGTGTAACAAGCGTGCACACCCTTACTGGCTATTTCAGTTGGCTTGGCTCCAGCTGCTGCCCTGCATCCGTCTGGCTCCCTTCTGACGAATCTATCCGCCTGTTGTCGTTCATCTGCGGGTCAGACAGTCTGAAATGGTGGAAACGTGGTCTCACTAAAGCAGAAACGCACACAATGGCACTTTCAAGCACATCGGATCACAGAGACACCTCATTATGCAAACACATTCATGCACACACTCACTGAAGACCACAGCTGCTTTCCATTTCAGAGCGCTGAAACCCCAGTCTGACTTCAATCAAGAACACCAATCCACTAACTGTTGCTGTCGCTCTGTTTCTGTCACCGTCTGTAATGGCCAGATCTGTGCTAACCTGCCCGTTGCTTCCGTGTTTGTCTTTTTTTTTTCTCCCTTTCTCTCTCTGCAGATTCACATTGACATACCGAGAACTAATCCTCTTATTCCTCTTTTTCAACAAGCTTCTGTTCAAGAGGTGAGACCCCTCCAGGAGCACACACAATGCACTTCATGTAGCAGGGTTTTCCCTTTTGCCTAAAGGCAGATCAGCTAATCACCTTAACCCTGGGATCACACTGATTTAAAGTTTTAGTGCAGTGGGGAAAAATCCAGTAAAAGGAAATATGGGATTAATTAAATTAAGCCGTAGAAATATTTTGTTTTTTGTCTGCCTTGGCTTTTGAAAAGGAAAACCCCTCGCTTTGGCACACTGTACGATACTGTTATGAAAGCACACATTAAATGCACAAATACAGAAGTAATTTTTGCTGCTAAAATTTCACTCTGCATGTTCAACACTCTCTCTAATATCTTTGTTCTGCTATGTTTGTGGTTCTGAATAAAACATTTCACATTAAGATGGGTGCTGTTTTGGTGGGGATATATTAAGTAACTAGAGAAAGTGCATTTCCTGGGAAAATGCAGTGTGAAAAACAGCTGAAATTGACTAAAAAACATGCTGAAATGGAAGAACAAGCTTAAATTAGCAGAAGAAAACAGAAATAACACATATTTGCAGAATTGGGTTTAAATGAGCAGAAATTAGCACAAAAATTAGGAAGTTGGCTATAAAAATAACTAACAAGTAGCTGAAAAGGCCAAAAGAAGCTTAAACTACTAGAAGGAAGCAGCAGGAGCTGAAATGAGCTCAAAACATGTGGAATGAGCTGAAAAAGATATAATTAGCATTAAAAGAGCTAAATAGTAGCCGAAACAGCAGAAAAAATGCTAAAAATGTAACTGAAAAGATAGAACAAGCGGAACAAAGCAGAAAAAACACATGCTTGTCCAATTAGGCTTAACGAAGCAGAAATGAGCGCAAAAAAAGTGGAAATTATTTGACAAAAGCAAAAATTTGCGCGCGCGCGCGCACACACACACACACATACACCAAAAAAAAACAGCTGAAAAGTAGCTAAAAAGGCAGAAAAATGCTTAAATTACCAGACGGAAGTGGAGAAAGTACGTCTTTTCTGAATTAGACTGATAAAAGTTGAAATGAGTGCAAAAAGTGTAGAATTAGCCGAAAAAAGCTAAAATTAGAATAAAATCGCTAAATAGTAGCTGTAATAGCAGAAAAAGCTGAAACGTATAAATAAGCTGAAATTAGCAGAAAGTAAAGAAGCACAAAAATGTCGTAGTTAGCAGAAAGAAGCTGAAAGGAGCACAAAACGGCTGAAAAACCAGCTGAAATTAGCTGAAAGTAACTGAAAACAGTTTAAATTTTCACAAGGAAGATGAAAGAAGCTGAAGCTGAACGGACATAACGCTAAACTAGGATAATAATAATAATAAATATAAACAGAAAAGCAACAACTAGCAGTTCGCAATTAGCTAAAAAGCTAAAGGCAGCCTCTTCCCTCATGCTGAACCCTCATGCTGACCTCTCCCCCCCCCAAAAAAAAAAGTAACAAACAAAAAAACAACATAAAGCTGTTTGTATAAACAAAGCGCTGCGCAGCTCAGGACGTGTCTCCGTCCATCTTTGACGAGATGAGCGCCCTGCCATGGCAAGTTATCTAGAGGAAACACTGGAGCAGTAACAGGTTGTAAACAGATCTAAAGATTTTGTAGGATGTAAAACGAGCTCAGTTTATTTTCTATGAGGAAAAAAAAAATGGCTGAAAAGGCTAAACATTTGAAAAAGCTCAAGTCATAGCACCCTTCTCCTGAGCAAGCTGAATGTTTTGATATCTGATTTGTTGAAATAGCACAAGGATTGTGGAATGAGAAAGATGCCGAAAAACATACGGAAGAAAAACAGATGACGATAGTGTGAACACTTCGTAAACATTCACACAATTATCCTAAAAACCTCTTCAGCTTTACGCTTAACAAGATATGTTGACTCTTTAGTTAACGAGCCTCCATTAGTTCAAATAAACATTAAAAGATGTACATTGTATAAACGCAAAAGTGCGACTTGATACAAAAATGAACCCGATTTAATATATTTACACGACTCATGTTGTTATTACAGCACTTGTAGAAAGACGTGTCACAGAAATGGCGCAGAGTTGGAGAAAACGGAACATTCTTATGAGATGGAGGCTAATGAGAAGTCCAAGACTTCAGGCTGATCTGTGTGTTCCTCTGCACAGAGGTGTGAGCGAGCCTCGCATACACTTTGTGTTTGTGTAAACCGTTCCAGCGTCCAGCAGTGGGAAGACTCCGGTATGCACACAGGCACTTTAGCTCACGATCACAGTACCTGAGGCAGTGCCACCTCCCACTGCCAGTTCAGGGCAACATCCTGCACTGTAATCAGGGACATGAGGAGGGAAATGAGATCAGACAGGGACGACTCCACACCAGCTTTTCTACAACTACTACTGTAAATATGTTGTTTTTTTTTCACCTCCTCTGTAGATGAAGTCAGATTTTTCTCTCATCCCCACGCAGCAGCTTTGCTCTTATTGCGTGGAAAATAAAAGCAGCCAGTGCACGTACTGAAACATTCACCAAGCTCGCTCCTTAAATGTAGTCTTACAAAAGTATTCATCCCTCTTAGTAGTCTTTGTTTTGTTGCCATACAGATTAATGACGTTAAATCAGCTAAAAAAAACTGTTTTAAAACAAAAAATACTGAAAAGTAGTGCCCGTTTGCTTTGAAACCCCAATCATTGCTTTTAGAAACCAGATAATTAGTTAAATGATTCACCTGTTGTTAATCTAAGCATCAAATTATAAACACCTGTTGTAACAACACCCAAAATCAACACCAGTAATTAAGTAAGTAAACTTTATTTATATAGCACCTTTCATAGATAAAAACATGAAGTGCTTTACGGAAATTCAGATACAGGCTTAATATAAAACGAAAACTGTCAGAACAGCTGATGAAAGCAGTAAGTACATTTAACTAAAAGCTTGTCTGAATAAAAATGTCAGGAATCAGCAGAGGCGGCCACACGAAGAGACTGGCAGGGCATTGGGGGGGCTACGGACTGAAAGGATAGGTCACCCCGAGTTTTAAACCGGGTCTTGGGGACCTTTAGGAAATTAAGCGCCGAAGACTGAAGAGTGCAGGCTGAAGAATAAGGAATCAACATTCCAGTGATGTAGTGGCGGGGGGGGGGGGGGTCTGTCCATTTAAAGCTCTAAAAGTCAAGACTAAAATCTTAAAATTAATTCTAAATTTGACAGGTAGATGATGTGGAGAAGAAAAACCAGTGAAATACTTCTAAGTAGTATTACATCTCGGGGCCGAGATGGTTTGGAGGTAGGGTAGCTGACCTGGGACCAGAAAGTCTCAGTTTGACTCCCAGCCATTCCAACATGTCAGTGTCCCTGAGCAAGATGCCCAGTCCCTAATTAGTCCCTGGGTGCTTACATAGCTGCCCACTGCTCCACCTGGGTGTATCCTAGGTGCCATGGTTTAAATGCAGAAAACTAATTTCATCATAGGGAACTTACAATGACGACATACAGCACTTATATATACTTACTTGGTATATATAAGTAGCATGGACTACCACCAAGCAAGAGACAACATGAAGACTAAGGAATACTCCGCACAGGTCAGAAACAGGGGAGCGGAGAATGGAATAGGGTTTGTTGGTTTGTTTAATAAACATTTTACAGAACCTTGAACATTTCAGTGAGAACCAACATCCATTGTTAGGAAATGGGGAGATGATGCTGCCACGTCAAACCAGCCAAAAGAGGGTCGTCCATCAAACTTAAGGGTCAGATAAAGAAAGCATTATTCAAAATTTCTTCCTCTAACGTGGGACAAAAGTCCTTTGGACAGAGGACACCTAACTTGGACCTTAGTTAAAGTTCAAACAATCTTTTCTCAGTTCTAATCTGAAGTTTTTGTTTGTGAAACTGTTGTTTTTAATCAAATAAGAAATGCAAATAAATCCCAGGCTTTAAGGCAACAAAATACAAACTATAGCAAGAGTAAGGCTCCATATGTTGACATGACGCCAAATTCATTTTCCGCCCACATGGCTGAATATCACCTCTGTTTTATTCGTTTGTCTCTGCTAAACTCAGTTTTGATCATATTTCTTATCTGTTCGAGCGTTTAAACCGTGTTCCTGCTTGACCTCTTTCTGTTTGCGCGCAAGCATTAATGACGAGCGTTCACCACCGACTTCGTCCCAATTTCCTCTTCACTTTTTAAAGATTAGCCTTATCTTACTCGTCGGGGTCTTGATCTAAAATGGGATAAAGTCGTATCCGTTTGACACACGTGACAGAATAAAGCTGACTTCCCGTTAGAAGAATCCAAAAACAATGAAAGAGCAGCAGAATTTGTAGTTATACCTAAAAAAAAATGTCTTTGAGCTCCCCTTTGTTTTACACATGAACACTAAAGGCTCTGTGCCCACAGTAAGAGAAGGTGTGGGCCTTGGTTCACTTAACGGCTCAGTGTAAAATATGCATATCAGCTTTTGAAGTTGCGTGAAAAGAAAGTCCCATTACCTACTCGTCCTGCTATCGCCAGTACCTCTACTTTGATAAGAGGAGGTTAGATGGAGGAGAAAGTCTCACAAATACCACCTTCTGCCTTACCTTGGTTATAATATATTTTGTTTGAGTAAAAGCTTTGGGGTTATTCAGAGAGTGACTTATCCCCAAAACTGAAAAAGGCTTGATGTGTTGGGTACAACTAGATATGAGAAATATTTTTATATTTCTTTTGAAGAAGGGGAGGGAAGCCATTTGCAAAGCAGAAAAACAAGCCGAGCATCAAGCCTCCTTCATTTCACCGAGCATGACAGCATTAAACAGTCACTCATAACGAAGATGGAAGTGTTTGCCATACAAAAAAAAAGGTATAGAAGTAGATGGAGGTGCACAGAGGAAGAGGAGCGCACAAACACAAAAACACAGAACAAAGTTCTACGTGAACCTTTTATTTTCATGAACAAAAAGTATTCAGCTGAGGAGCAAACCTGTCTGTTTCATAGACGATGGAACGATGTTAAAGGTCCGGCTCAAAATTCAAACACGCCTTAACCGTTTCCACAATGTTTGCAATTTCCATTACTTATTCTTTATTCATTACCGTATTAATTTTTTTAATTCGGCATACATTTATAAGCAGAAACACAAGTAAATAGACACATTAACACTGACAGTTAATCTTAATCCTGCTACATTCAAGCAATAAATATCGTAAAGACCTAGCATTTCTTGAAAGAATGCATATCGCCCATCGTCATTCATGAGTTTTAAATTAAAATAATTTTATTGTGATAGCAGACTTCTGGTCATTTTAATGAAACTTTGTAATGGGATCTTAGGTGATATAAAATTTCATGATGTGTTGGCCCTCAGTGTGTAAATGGTAAATGGACTGTACTTATAAAACGCCTTTCTATCTTATCAAGATACTCAAAGCACTTTACACTACATTCTGTGCCCACATTCACTCATTCATACAGCACTCTACTAGATCTATACAAAGAATAATCAGAGCTTTATCACATTCATACGCTGATGGGACACACATCGGGGGCAATGAGGGGTTCAGTGTCTTGCCCAGAGATACTTCGGCATGCGACTGCTGGTGGAATCGAACCCCCAACTCTGGCATTGGAGGACAGCTACTCTTACCACTCAACCACAGCCGCCTCTAGTAAATGGCACTGTAGCAAATGACTTTGCTACTACCACACCCAATTCTAGCTGTAAAACTGGCTGCGTTTAGCTTAGCTGTGGCGTCTTTCTTGAATTGGTTTGACTCCAGATGTTCATCAATTGGAGATGTATATGCAAAGATTATACTGAGTTTCAGTAAAATTCATCCATTGACTGAGATTTTGATAACACTACAGATAAAATTTTGCCTTTTGGCGATAGGCGATGTAACAGGTTACAGTGGAATAAAGTGGGCTGTTAATTCAATTCAATTGAGTTTACAGTAGTCCCTCAGTACTTTGCAGTTCGACTTTCACGGACTCACAATTTTGCAGGTTTTCAACGTAAGATTGTTCATGACACATGATTGGCTGATTGATGGAAGGCGACCAACTAAAGCATTATGCACTGTATCTCGGATGCTGATTTGTTGAGTAACCGTAGCATCAATCTGTCTGCTCTCTTTCGCTGTACTCTTTAAGGACCGGGTGGCCCGGCCCCTGTCCGGGGACCGTACCCCGTGCGTCCGTACGGCCTTCCCCACCCTCCGCCCCTCCCTGTCCGTACACCTCTGGGCTTGCGTCCAGGGGGCGCCTTCTCTCATTGAGCTTGTGGTGTTCGTGGGGCACGGCTGATGGTGGAGACCTTCCTCCGCGTTGCCCATGTCCTTGCACTCGCCTCCCCGGGACCGTGGGAGGAGACTCGCTCTAGCGGAGGAATGGGGGTGAAGGCCATTGTGCGGACAACGTGTCGGCCCTCCGGGTACGCCCCCGCCACCGCTGTGGAACCTGCCGCCTGCTGCCTCAAGCTTTTACCCGGTGCAACAAACTCTATATCAAGAAGGACGATGTATATGGATATATGTATATGAATACTAAAATAAATATAACGTCTTTACATCACAATCTGGAACGTAACCCCCGTGATAAGTGAGGGACTACTGTATTTATATAGCACCAAGTCACAACAGAAGTTATCTCAGGGCACTGTGCAAATATATTCATATACATAAACATTGAATTAGTAACATTATTTATGTAAGGTAGGGTAGGGAAGCTTAAAATACACACAAATCCAAAATTTCTGAGTAATATGTAGGTAACTAATGTTGATGCATCCCTTGGTTGGAAACAGTTCATCAGAATTAAAATTGAATGACTTTTACCAACACAATGACAAATATTAAATCTTACAGTTTCAAACACATTAATGAAAGTAACTACGAGCAATTTTGCTTTTAATATGAACATTTTAGAGTTATTCTAGTTGTTTTTAAACATTCCCATATTTCCTTTTTTACCCACCGTATTGTGCCTTCATTGTTCTGATTATCGTCCTGTGTTTTTCCACACCTCGCTCATTTACTAAAACTTTAATAATGAAAGCATGCAATTAAGAACGCTGCACTGTTTCCCCTATAATTTCCATCCAGTCCTAGTGTTATGCACCAGAAACACCGAACATACCTTGGAGGCACGTTGGCGCCACTTTCAGGACACAGCAGGAGCTCTGAAAATTATTTACATTCAATATTTATCCCTTTCTCCTTGTTCTTTAATTACTTACTCCACATTAATTAAAGGCTTTTCTGACCTGAGCAGAAAACGGTCTCATTGTTTTTGCCCCATATGGGTTGGTGTTTTCCCGCTGAGCCAACAGTTGTAGGGGAAACACTGTACGTTGTTGTTTTAGTTCAACTAGAACAATTTACTGTATTCATATTTATTTAATAGGCAGTTTGAGAAATAAAGCTTTTTGTTTAATGAGCTTTTGTTTAACTCATGTCATGTTTGTTGAAGATATTTGAGCGGATCCTGTTTATCTGGGCCATCCGCCATCCAGCCAGCGGCTACGTGCAGGGCATCAACGACCTGGTCACGCCTTTCTTCATCGTCTTTGTCTTTGAGTACATCGGTGAGTAGCATCGCTCTGCCCCAATCTCAGTTTTACCCCCTCTTCTTTTTCTTTAAAACGCTCAAATCTTTTGTTGTATTTTTTTGAAGCGAGGGTCTGTCATCTCTCTTTGCTGTCCTTTTTAAAGTGCTACTCCGCGGTGCAGAGTGGCTTCTCTGGTAGCTGACAATAAGCAAGGTTTACTTGCTGGTTCACCTGCACTGGTTGCAGAAAATCTCTCCTGGGATCCCCCCAGACTGTCTAATCTTTCCACAGCTGACTGGTCTTTCTGTAGCTCTTTACCTTCTTTTTGTTTTAAAGCAAGACCAAAGCTTGGCCAATCTGATACTCAAACATCTAATAGGTCATAGGTCAGAGCTATACAAAAAGTAACAATAATCTTGCCTACATTTATTTCAGTGCACACTTCTTTCTTTTAATGTCTGAATATGCTTTAAAATCTATTTACCAAGGCATGTTCTGGTTAACACTTCTGATGTGTGTGTGCGCACCCCACTGTTTTCTCCAGAGCCCTCCTGCTGTTTGCATTTATGCTATGCCACATTTACGCAGATGAATGTTTTATTTTACTGTCACACTTAATTCCTGTGTCAGTACAAACAGCACTTCAAAGTGCAAACAGACTGTAAGAAGACTCATGAATATGGTCAATGTAGCAGGGATGAGTTTTATCTCTTCAGGCATGTTTAAACTACTAAAAAATAAGAACTATCATTATATCAAGTTCAAGTTCAAGGTTCGTTATTGTCATTCGCTGCACATGTGGTACATGAGGTGGAACAAAATTGTGTACTTAGGATCCCAGTAACATTTAACAATAGCAAAAGTACAAAGTGTAAAAAGAAACTTCAAGTAAGGATCTAAGATATACACTAAGATATACACTAAATGGTACGTTAAAAGATCTAAGATATACGCTAAACACTAATAATGTAAAATAATATGGTGTAACAGCAGCGCGAACATGAGTCTGTGTGAGCCGATGGGTACAGCAGCATGAGATCAGCAGCATGGAGAATCAGCAGCACAGATAAGCCACACATCAACTATCAGTCATACACATCAGTCACATAATCACACATATAAATTTGCTACCATTCGTTGCTTGAATTCATGCCACTATATAAAACAAACACCAGCTGTGTTGCTGGGAACATTAGTCATTTTAACACAGTGATTTTATTGTTTTTCATTTTCTGCACCCAAATAAAACCTAAACCTTAAATCATTTGTCAATTTTTCCAAAAAACAAGAGTTTCCCAAACGTCCTGTTCTAATTTTAAGGCTTCATCCTATTTATCTTCCAGAGTATCATTTATTTCATTAAAGTGTTTAAAATGATCTCCACATACTTAAATATAAAAGTATGCACGGAAAGAAAGTTCAGCCCCGGGCTTTTGCTGCTGCACTGCTGGATGTTTGCTTTTCCGCTCGCTTTCTCTGTAATGTTTGTTTCTGTATTCTGTCTCTTTAATTTCCTTATGCTACGTTTTGGTCCATCAAGCTCTCTTTGAGGCCACTTAAACTGGAGCTGCTAAATGGAATCCACAATACTCTCTGAGGAATAACTTGCACACTCTGGACCCACTGTGGTCACACAGATACAAGTTAAGTGTTGGGAAGCACGCCAACAGTTGGACTCCATGACTCCTTTAGTTTTTTTGTTTTTACTTTTGGCAAAGAAAACTTAACTCGGTGCTAATGAGCGTTTTCTTATATTTTTGTTAAAACTTCTTCCAGCAAGTACACCACAAAGCAGCGCAGGAGTCTTCAAGGCTACTTTTGTGGCTTGTGCCCATTGTCAGCCTCTTCATTAAGCATTAGTTCACCGTCAATGTGAAGTTTATTGGAGAAATGATCTTTTACATTGCATTTACCCCAAAATAGCACACACAACAAAGAACTGCATTAATTGAGAAATGTCCTGCAAAGATTGAGTAGATTTGGCCGTTTCTTAATGGACACATGTCAAATCTGTGATATTGATTAGTTGAAGTACAACACAGCTTTCAGACTGAATCATAAATGGCCAGCTCTTATTCTTGCAACTCATTTTAGGGATTCATGGAAGCAGTCAAACTCTATTTGACTCCTTGTTTGAAACGTTTTTTCTTGTTCATTAGATTTGTCTTTAAGCTTTCAGTTTCCATCCCACAAAGAACAGCTGCAGAGATTTGTGACTAGAGCTCGACCGATATCGATAGGGCCGATATTATAGGCCGATATATGCATTTGTGGACGTATCTGTTTCTGATAATTGTCCCTTTATGCGCTGATATAAACACTGGGAACAAGCTGTGTCCTTGCATGCAAATAGTGTAATTGTACAATGTATCCAGCAGAGGGCACATGCAGACAACTTTCATGTCTTGGCTGCTCACTTTAAGTTTCACTTTCACCATAGCCAAAGCAGGGAGCAATACTTTGTAGTGTATTTTGATGAACATAGCCTGGTACAATTATTAAGTGATCTGTAAAATAATCAACAATAATAAATTATCTTTAATCCTCCAACCCCCTTGTCATTAGCTACATGCTTCAAGTTAGCAAGCTAATGCTTAGATAACCTAGCATAGCTTTAGGGGGAGTGGTGGCGCAGAGGTTATAAGATGGGCTTGTGATTGTAAAGTCGCAGGTTCACCTCCCGGTACTGTCAACATCAAAATGTGGGTGGAAAAGGTGAAAAACTCACACCTCCTTCCACCGTCATTCGCCCTGCTCTGGGCCCCCGAGCAAGGCCCTTAACCCCCACCATCTGCTCCCTAAAAAACAGGTCTCTCTTGAAAATGAGTTCTCGTGGCTCAATGAGACTACCTGGATAAATAAAGGGTAAATGGAAAAAAAAAAAAGGCTATTGCCTTGTAAAACTTTTTCCAGAGCAATAAATCTAACGTAGCGATAAAATATATCAGTTACTAACGTTATCTTTGTCATCCTCAATGAAATACATTGTTTGTCTGAAATCTTTACTTCTCTGCAAAGAAAAAATAAAAACTCTGCTGCAGTCATTACTAACTAGACCTTCACCATACGTGACTGACTGTTGAAACAATGAATAGAGAAAGACGATTCTTTGTACGATGATTTATGTAACACACTTGATAACTTTATGGTAAATAGTGGAGGATAGAAATTGTGAACGCACGTTAGGAAGACTGTTTCAAGACTTGAAGTGTTAAAACAGGTTGAAAAGTAGCTGTTTACTTAAACCCCTTATCCACAGGGCCGGTTCTTGTTGGACCCTGTTGTGTCCGGTTCTGGTGGGACCTCTTTTTTTCTGTCTCCACAGTGCTCATAGTTCCCGTTTAGTGGGCGGATTGTTCACCTCTAGTGGGCGGATTATTAATATCAACGCACCTTACCAGCTGGTGGCGCTAGTGCTACGTTAAGCTCTTTTCTAAGCACCACTAACATGTATTAGAAAAGGAAGACAACACACAACCAAAATGGATGACCTCCTTGATCTCCGCCCTTCACCAATGAATACGCCCCCTGACCAATCAGTGACCAACAGTGCGCTAATGTCACATTTAGACCCAACAAGATCCAGACCTGGGACCTCAGAGAAGTAGGTCCCAAAAATGGGGTGGGTTCCCCCGCTGAAGGCATTGTGGATAAACCACGCAATCGACCCGAACTAGTTACATAGGAGCCCCAAAAGGCCCTGTGGATAAGGGGCTTAAGATTCTTGGGGGTGGACAAAGCTAATTTTTTCTGGCATTATATTGGTTATCGGCATTAGGCACAACCCTCAGAATATCAGTATGTATCGGTTTCGCGATAGCCAAATTTCCATATCAGTCAGACTCTACTTGTGACCCCAACCGTCACGATTTGAATAAGGAAAAAATGAAAGGCCTAGTATTCCTTAAAGCTTTAATGTCAGAGTGTTAAACTAGAATCACCTTATTTTGAAAATCTGAGTTGTAGCTGTTTTATCAAACCTTGTAACTGCTTGTAGTGGCCATCTTGAACAGGGTTGTAGATGTACTTCCAACGGTTACTGTCTAAGAGTTTCATTAAAATTCTCCCACCGGTTTATGAGATTTTTCCTAATGCTCCAGACGACTACGTGCACAGACACAGGCAAAATCATTATTACCTTTTGCCTTTGGCTGCGTGTAATAATAGGGCTATGAAGGTAGGTAATTAAGCACATAATGACAACACAGTCTCATCAAAGATTATACCGTTTCATCTATTTATGATTGTATTCTCATAACAGAAATGTCTGAGTTATACTAGGTTGTGTCCTAGACTTATGACATTTATTATTTTCACAAGTATTTATTTTATTATAGGTGTAGAAGTTCCAGTTGTCATTACAGTATTTTTGGGGAAACTATGTACAATTCTTAAGGCAAAACACGCTCATTTCAGCCTTTCTTCACCTTCATTTTTCCTGCACGTTTTTATTAAAGTGTATTCTGTTGCCCTTTGTTCACCCTTATTTCCTGTATTGCTATCTTTGTTGGATTAGTTTCTCCTCCTCCTCTGCTGTTTCTTCACTCTGTCAGATCTTCAAAGCCTCACCCTGTGCTCCGGTGCCATGCACCTCTATGCACTGATGAGCCTTGACTAACATACACAGCCAACAAGCCTTCAAACGTGCCTGGCTGGCATCTTACATGATGAGTCGATGTGCTGTGTTGTTGTTAGCTGCTCTCGTCTTCTGATGGAGAGAGAGAGAGACGGAGAGCTGTGTGGCTTCTTTAAAGATCAGCTCCCTGCTCCTGTGTGGAAAGGAGACAAATGAGATGTGCAATCTTTGGCTGTGTCCTCATACTTTTTAAGCTGTTTTTTTGTAACCACTATTTTATTTGCCATCTACTTGTGGACAAGATTCTGATTTTTTTATTATGTCCAAATTATGAATTTATATGTAAATATACAAAATGTCAACATTGATGACGTGCTAAATTGTTCACAACCACGCGTTACTCAGGCTTTGGGAGCAGTGATGCCTACAGGTTAAAAAAGCAAATGAAAGAAATTGCAAC